TAGGCTGTATTTTTGCTGAAATGGTGAATCGGCGACCATTGTTCCCTGGAGACTCTGAGATTGATGAATTATTTAAGATATTCAGGTATTTGTTGTTTCATGAATCCTGAAAATTACTTTTCTTATATCGCACCTAAACTTTGTAGGCTATTTTATTTTTTATAGAGTGTTGGGTACCCCTAATGAAGACACTTGGCCTGGAGTTACTTCCTTACCAGACTTCAAATCTGCTTTCCCCAAGTGGCTTTCCAAGGTATGAATGAAGGATATGCTTATTTGATTTCATATGTTGGTCTTAGGAAGGCTGGATAAATGAAACAGATTATAAGGAGCTATTTGAACACCTACAGCATTTCCCCAAACCCATTATTGTTAGGATAAATGAGAAAAAAAAAAGTGGTTGTAGCATGACAATATAACAAGTCATAATGTCCCGATAATGTCCCAACTATTAGAGATCTGCTACATGGGTTTGTTTTATCATTAAGCTATATACAAGATAATATTCCTTATTAAATCAAGAGTATTTAAATATCTATTATATTTTTAGAAAAGTTTTTGTAGATTTTTCTCTAATTATTACACCAGTAATACAAATTAGCTCACCTCGTATAATCACGTCTATATGTCTCCTTTGAGGATCTCCTTATCATCTTCCAAAGTTTTTCCTTATCTTCTTTTTTATTACCACTACATCTAGTTGTTCATTTATTAAAACATTTTTTCTTAGATCTTTCCTGGTGAATCCATACATGTAGCTTAATATTTTCGTTTCAACAATACAAAGTTCTTAAACATGTCAAACTGACCTAATAACTATCTTATAAAATTTTACTTTAAAAGAAAAGAATTTGATAATTATACAGAACTCCCTAAGCTTCTCTCAGCTTCAACCATCAAGCTTTTTACTCTATAGACAAAATCAGCATCATCTCTTTATTTTGTTAAATAATAGATCTAAGATTTTTAATAATTCTTTTACTTATAGAAGGTTCTCCATCCATCCTAACGACTTATACTTTTTTCTCTTAATATTTCTAAGTTTATATATTATATATCTTCAGTTTTAGTCCTTAATTATCATCCAGTCCTAATTTCATTGTGTGACTTATTACCATAATTCTTCTATAATTAGATCAGTTGGATATCACCCTTATCCTTATAAATTGATAATTAAAATTCTTCCTTCATTCATCACACATTTGTCTAATTTTCAAGATTTTGTTAATTGTTATATAAACTAATCAACTAAATTATTTCTTTATCTTTTAAACTTTTCAAAATCAAATAGAAACATTGTCGGGTCTTATATTCTTATCTACTTTTGCCATTTTCAAAATCTCCTTTCTCTATTGCCTTAATTTTTTGAACAATCCAAGATCGCTAGACCTTCCAATATTGTTTATCTTTAAAACTAAGGCATTTATGGAATGTTTATAAAATAAAAAAAATCTTTCATCTTTCTAAATTTGTGTATCATTAACTAATTTTTTTTTGTCTCTATTCTTTATACACTTAACATTCCCTAAATTTATACTTTTTATTTCTCAAACTATAACAATCTGAGAAATATTCTTTTCCTAGCCTTAGTTCCTAACTAATCAAAAAAGTTACCATAAACTTTATATTTTGCCAAACTTAAAGTGTTCCCTTCTTGTGTCTTTGTTTCAGTTGCTATATATTCTAAAATTTTTCTCATTCTTATAATTTTGTTCATTATTAAAGTATATCATCACGATCCGACCTATCGGATAATTTACCTATTAACTTCATTGAGCCTGCACTACTGGCCTAAAATGTTTAGGCCAAAATTAACAATATTACACCCCTTATATGTCAATTTCTCTAGGATTAAAATTAGCACATTTATTAACTTTTGATGTGAGACTAAACGGGATGATACAATCTCCCCACTTAAGGCTTTGATGTTTTCGTCAAAGCCTAATGTAGTCCAATTACACCATAGTATAGTGTTTGTGAGGCATAGCCCGATGGTGATGCCATGTCGTGACATACGCTCTAGTCTCGTTCATTCCAATCCTTTCTTACTTGACCATCTTACCGTGCCCCAAGACTAGGTCAACTCTAATACAAATAAATTGTCATGATCTGGCCTGATGGAATAACTAATTAATTCATTAAGCTTGAACCATTATGAAAGCTTAAGTAGAAGTTAACAGTAGTACACCCATCAGGCTCTTATAAATCAATCTTAGCTTTTATCCAGTTTCGATTTTGGACGAAACGGGGTGTTACAATTTGAACTCAATGAGTGTTATCTTGTATTTTTAACATACTTGTTTGTGTGATAAATGATTCTTTCCCCCTTTCTAATATGGAGCTCATTATTCAATTTGCATCTGTGGCACAATTCAATGCTATGGCAGCTTTTATTTTACTTGCTTTGGTCTGTTCTTGAAGGCCTATAATTGGATTTGTGCTGTGCAGGACCTGGTGACAGTAGTTCCAAATCTTACAGCTGCAGGAGTTGATCTTCTTTCTGTAAGTCCTGCCAATTTTGATATTTGCATACCTGAAAGATCCCTTGCTTTTTTAATGTGAAGTTCAGGACAAGCTCAAATTATTTTGGTACATAAATAATACCTTGTGAAGTAAAGACCATATACATGATTGCAAGTCACTGTGAGGCATGACCAACATTGTGAATTTTCTCCGCTTGAATCTTAGTAAATGATAGCATGCAGCATTATGTGTCCAGATTTGCTAATTCAACCTCAGTTGTCTTTGATTCTGATAGCTAATATTGCTTATCCTTTTAATGGTTGGAACACTCGAGACAAATTTTTAGCTGTTAAATGATAAAACATAGATACTTTGTTTTTGTGGAACTAATTTGTATCTAATTAATAGCAAATCCTGACCATATCCTGGTTAATGTTCTTTGTTGCTAATTGTCCAATTAACATCTTGGTCACCAGAAAATGCTATGCTTAGACCCAAGTAAAAGAATCACAGCTCGACAAGCTCTGGAGCATGAGTATTTCAAGGATCTTGGACTGGTGCCATGAGTAATGTCCTCGTGACTCATGGCAAATTATCAGCTAGGGCAACAAAATTCTGCAGCTCAACTTTATATCTCTGCTACCTCTGCTACCCATCATGGTTGCCTTCAAAATCATCAGATGTTCCCTACTAGGATCGTCAACATTCACATCTTGACATGATCTCAGTTTGGTACAAAGAAGCCCCATTCATAGTTCACCTATATTACTTAGTATAACAATTTATGACAAGTTTTGTATTTGTATGTGCTCTCTCTCTCTCTCTCTCTCTCTCTCTCTCTCTCTCTCTCTCTTGTTTTGCACCTATTTCTTGTTTGTTATTGACCTCTTTAGAGAGAATTAAGTATCACGTGTATGCTTGAAATATTTTCCTTGCTGTTCTGTTTGCAGAAATATTATTTCTGGTATTCATGCTACAAGAGATGATGCTTTCCATTGTGTGAGAAAAGAAAAAAATGCTGAATTTTTAGTTCTGATTGCACTGAACTAATAAACGTCATATATTGCATTTTGTCATGGCTCGATTTATTTAGGGGGGAGGCACAATGTTGTGTTGAGCTGCTGGCATTTTTCACTGTGTTTAAAGCTGTAAAACATAGTCTGATGAGAATTTTCTCTCCCATTATGACCTTGACTTGCATGAGAAATGCTGCTTTTGATCTTTAAATGCTGCAACCAAAACAGATCATTTAGTGCTCCAGATGTGCCCGAGATAGATCTCTCTGAGGAGCTTCTTGATCCAAGAAAGGTTACAGATCATTTAGTATGCTCAAGATGTGTCCGAGATAGATGTCTCTGAGGAGCTTCTTGATCCAAGAAAGGCATGATGTTGTCCTCCTTTCCCTAATCGATGACTAGAATGGTAAGACTAAATTCCTAGTATACTAGTATTGTCTTGGTCATGGCTCCGAATGGTATCGTATCCATCCATATAATTAAAAATCCTGAAAAAACAAATGAAAAATTGCATAGTATCGGAGCTATATTATCCAATATCGAGAGGCATAAACCTATGCATCGGAGCTATATTATCCTATATCGAGAGGCATAAACCCTATATCGGACGTTACCGGGCGTATAACATCGAACATTATCGAGCATGCTGGGTGGTACAAGATTTTTGTACTGGATGATATTTCAATTTATCCTGATCTACATAGCGGTAAAATATGGGGCATATAAAAATGTTCCATGGCATACATATCGTATTGAGCAGCATTCTTCTACTTAAAAGGCCATTTCCAATGATACTTAACAGGACTGAGACCAAGTGCTCCCCTTTCTTGTTCTCGTTGCATCATACAGAAGTATTGGCAGTCTATCCTACAATTCCAATGTTTCCACTGAACACAACCATCTTGCTTATACCATGGACTGTCAACAAGCACACCATCAGATAGAAACTGGCAGTGCTGAATTCAGCTGGTTCCAATAGATCCTGTCTTTTCACATTCTCAAGCATCCAAAGGAATGCCAACGAGTCCTGTGCTATATAATTTCTTCTTGGGGCATTCTATTCTCATTTGTTTGATTAAAAGAGAGATTAAAAAAGGCTTCCCGACATCTACACACTGAAAGATACAAAAAAGAGTGCTGGCCCTGCTACCAATGAACCAATGGTTACTCAGCCAAGATTCCTGTACAGCAACAAAGCTATGAGATTCCAATGGTCTAAAGATGAACTTTCTCATTCGAAAAATAGGGCTAAAGATGAACTGATATTTCACTTCTCAAATAGGGACTCACCAACGATCCACATAATCCTATATTGTCATCTATACTCGGAGTATAATCGCCTATTGTCGTCTGAGTAATCATGATTTATAGTTGATTCTGGATTGACTCAAGATGAGAGAGAAGGATAAAATTGGCACCATAAACACCATTTCTCACACTCGAACAAATGATTGTAACTTATACAACAAAAGATTAGATGGCCCAGCTATTGGTTCTCGTATCATGAAATCATGATACCGGCATCTTGTTCGTCGACCATTTCCACACCTTCAGTTCACCCGTGCCATCTCCCGTAAAAAATAGGTCACTAGGTCCAACTTCCATTGCTCTCACCTCTTTCTTGGAGAATATCTTACCCCGCTCGATGAATCTAGAAAGAGAAACAGGGTTCATATGGTGTCTCAAATCAGACATCAACTTATATATATATATGCATGTATACTTACGAAGGAAGGTCATAGATATGAATGCTTTTGTCGGTGCAAGAACATAGCAAGACTGGTTTGGCTTGAGCATCATGCATGCCACATAGAACAAGCACACCCTGGGAACAAAAATGGCATTCGTTAGTAACACAGGTGAGTAGATTAGGTTAAAAATTCCTATCTTCCTACAGAAGCATGTTGCACAAACATAATCAGGTGTCGGCTTGCAACAACTCCACCAACATATGATGTGCAATGCGAAGGACAAGAATCCAATATCTAAAGCTACTGCTGAAGTGAACATTCTCATATAACAGAAGAGGTGCTGCTCATGCCGAGTAACAACTGGCCAGCGTGGTGTGCATCTAAAGGGTGAGAGGTGGGGACTGGGCAGTGTGCTTCTTGATGCACGCCACGTTGTCGCTACTGCAGGTTTAAGACAGGCACCAAGTCATGGCATGCACCAATTCTGAAAGAATACATGTGATTTCTATCGGTTCAAAGTGCTTACAATAGCAATGCAAAAAGGCTGATCTGTCATTAGAAGATATAATACAATTCCATGCAAACAATACAGAATCATGGGCATATAACCACTTTACATAATTCCTAAAAAAGATAACTACACAAGAACATAATTTGTGATGAAGAATCAAAATTATATTAGAGTCACAGAATACCCTAAATAAGTAAGCACACAATATACTTTATTCCAATTTAAATATATTTCTAGAACGACAAAAGAAACATCCTAACAATTACAAACTGACTGCGCTATACAAATTCTTCAACTGAATGGCCATTATAAGAGAAATAATCTGCAAAACATCGATTTTAAAAGTACAAGCCATGTATTGAAGCACACATTAAAAGGATCACATATTCTGAAACCTACATCCATATCTTAGTGATGTCATTACGTATTGCAAGAGAAATTAACTTCATGGCTTCAGTAATTTCTGTTTGCCGGACCGTTTTAATTAACAAAAGCTTCACCAATGTCAGAGAAGAAGGTACTAGAGAAAAAAGCTACAGAAGCAGTTGTTATGTTGTTATATGAAAATTTAACTTTTGAATCAATACAGGACACTAGTGCTCCAATGGAATTCATAAATGCAAAGATGTAAACTATGAGTGAATATTTAACCACAGTTTGTTATAGAACAGGTGTGTACATGTTCCTTGTTGTGAATGTATTTTACTTCCAGGTTTCCGCTTTCTGTAGCAGCCCAAACCTGTACAAAGGAATGGCATGAGGGAACTAGGTCAGTTATCCTGTTAATTGAGCTTTCTGAGTGTCAAATTAAATCATGAAGTCTTATGGTTACAACAATAAGATACTGACCTTAATTGTTTGGTCCAAAGAAGAAGATAGCAAAAATTGATCCCAACAAAGTAATGATGTAACAACGGACGTATGGTCATTGAGGGTCTGAAGACATTGTAAAGTTGCAAGATCCCAGACCTGAAAAATATAATTTCCAGATATTCAGAATTCTACTTTAGCCAAAATTTTACGGGACCAAAGAAAAACAAGGCTAAACAACAAGAATGCATCTCATGTTAATTTTAGGGATAGCATCTCACTTTTCAGTATACATCTAAGTCGATTGGGAAAATCCATTACATGTTTAGGAGATAAATTTGGAGCTTTGAGAATGAAATTTAATTCTTAGCAATGATTTCTTCACAAATTTTAAAAAAATTATGCAGCCTTGGTTTGGAAAATAAGGCTGAAGTTCATTGGAACACCTTTCACACGAATGACTCAAGCTTAACAACATCAGATGTTTTTGAAAAACTTCAATGCCGGATGGGGCTGGTTTTATTTTGTGCTGACCAAATGGCAGTCCCTTCATTGCAGGAGCTAGATGGAGATATATTGTCACACAGCATTAGAGGTCATTACATGAAGGGCTAAGATAGGTTGTGCAGAATGACGTAAAGAAATTAATGAATGACCCAGAAACTACAAACTTGAATAGTTGGAGGATGAAAACATTATATTTGACATTTTTTCACCTTCAAAAGATTAAAAGTTATTCTTTTTTTCCTTTACAATGTTGGATGAACCAAGCTGCATATTTGTCGGATAATCACGGGTGGGCTTCATGTGCACTATACATGGATGGATGGATTTCTATACCAGCAGGCAAGGATCTATTCTGAGCTTCAGTACCACAGGGCTTGTTCTATTCATTGTTGGCTCTAGTTAATCTAGTTTTCCATTTTAAATGAACAATAAACCCCATTTACGAAAAAAATTAAATTAAGAATATCTTCAAATAAAGCTCACATCAAGAAAGCAATGCAGTGTGGAAAAATCCTAACCCTGTGTATGTTTGTGAATTATGGCAGACCAAATGACACACATGGGTAGATGAAAGGAGTGAGGCAGGCTTAAGATTTCCCAAATTGACTTAGAAATTTTCATATGTATAAGAACTGGTTACATATTCAAATTTGACCTGCTCTGTGGTTCGTTTGTATCAATACGTATTGCAAAGAGAAACACAGATGAGTTAATTGTCTTGATTTCTCTTTAACTTGGGCTGTATTCAAACCTGAACTAAATTATGGTGTATTTGTATATAGTTAGATGTGGCAAAGAAAGGACTTACCTAAATTTATTTTGAACTTAAACTAAGATATTACCAGTTATAACTTTTTGTGGTAACTCAAGAGCTAACATATGGAAACAAACAAAAACATTATTTTTTTTTAAACTAATGCAGTTTGCAAGGGAAAATAAAAGGACTGTTCCAGACTTACTGCACAGGAAGACTGACATTAAGTTCATGAAAGAATAGGTCTTATTTACTAAGGTGCTCAAAAACTATTTTGGAAGGAGCATCATGAAATTAAGGTGCCTTCACTTTATTGAGATATTTCATAAAAAAATAATTGTTGTGGTGTTATTTAACGGGATTCATCAAGCTCAATTTACCATCTATCTGTTTTGAGTGGTACATGAAACAAGTCAGCCTTTGCACTAGGATTCTTACTTTTATTGTGTGATCCATGGAACCAGAGTACAGCCTCATGACTCCCACAACTAAAGAAACCACCGCAAGTCGATGGCCATTAAGAGAAGCAGCAGGTTCAAAGCAGTTCCCAGCAACATTGAACTTCCATGCCAATATATGTGCATCCTGTAAAATTAGAGAGAATAGGATTTTTTTTTTCCAGACAAATTCAGAAACTGAGCCCACAGACCCAAATAGAGAAAAGAACACAATGGATTCTTAGAAACCAAGAAGAACAGTAGCAACAAAAAGAAATCCTACCTGTGTACCAGCAAACAGCATATCGTTGCCAACAACCAAAGCATAAACTTGTCCGATAGGTCCATCAAGGTTTTGATCTGTTGCGGTTTGTGTGTTCCATGCCTAAATCATCATCGAACAAAATCCAGTATAGTTACTGCAGAAATTACCTACAAGGTGTCGTAGGGCAAATAACCTTGAAAATACTAACCTTGACGGCATTTGGAACTCCAATAAATATCCAAGCACCTTCACTGATCATACATCCAACCTCACCTCCAACATTGAAAACTCCCGTGCACTATGATCGAATGTAACAGTCAGAAACTATAACATTCTAGTTCCAAAATTGTAAGAATATTGAGAGCATCATTACTTGTCCAGTCTGAGAATCCCAAACCCGAACAGATTCGTCCTTGCTGCCAGAGTAGAGCTTGCCGGACTCTGAAGATAGTGCAATACCAGTAACGACCTTACAGAAAAACTCACTCGTTCAACCACCAAATCAGAATACCAATAGAGTAGAAGCACATGAAATAAAGCTGTGCAGAATGAACTACATTCTGATGCCCTTGAAGCGGGGCCAAGAGGGAGAAGCTGTCACCGATGAACCACGAATGCAAGAACCTGCATTTATCCCCATAGCTGCAATTCCCACCGATGAAGTAACTGCAGATCTTGTCGGAAGCCTTGCGGCCCGCTCGGCCCTTTCCCCAACCGGAGATTGAGGCACCGGCCGCACCAGAATTTCCCCGCACGAGACCCTGGTGATAGCCCCGCCTGGAGGTGGCGCCATCAGCGGACATGGGCTGCGGAAGCTCGCTGTGGAGGAAGCGACAGCGGTGGCGATTGCATCGTCCCGCTTGCCAGTCGAAGCAGACCTTGTTGACCCTGTCGGGCGCACCCTGCGACGATCCTGCTCGCTGGAAAGACCTTTTGTTTCCGTACTGATCGGCCGGTTCGATGTCCATTGATCGATCCGGGAAGTGGTGGTGTGACTCAGTGCGAAAACCTAGAGTAGAAAAGGTGGAATCGGCGTCAAACGATCGATCCAAGAACGGGTGGTGCGGTTCAGCACGAAGCCTCGGGAAGATGACCACGAAGACGAAGAAGAAGAAGAGATGATTCGATTCAATGTCCAGCAAACGACCCAAGAAACGGCGACGCCGAGACAACTGAAGGCCGGGAAGACGATCAAGAGATGTTGGAAGACGGATAGCAATGATGATGAAGAAGAGATGGGAGAGTGGCACCTCGTTCGGTAGGTATCGCTAAAAAGCCTTAGAGCTTGCTGGGAAAGGAAGAGGAGAGGAGATCAGAGAAGCGGCCTTCCTTCCTTGCGTTCCTAGGATGACGTCTTCCTTTTGGCCGCCTCCTTCCACCTTTGGCTTCTTTCTCCTCCGCCCCGACGACCGACCGCGTCGCCGGACTCGTATAGCTTGGCTTCTTCGCGAGGGCTCGTGCGAGACCCGACGCAAGCAATTAGCTCGGTTGCGTATGGCCGACTCTTCTTCGCCCACGAGTCAGTCGGTCGAACGGAACCCAAAAAGCATCGGTTCGTGCTAATGTCGGCCCAAATCGAAAGTTCATATTGGCGCGTCGGTCTATATTGGAATAAAATTTAACCGGCAAAACTATATTTATACACCTTCAAAATTAATTATTATTTTTTCATATTTATTTTGATAATTTTAAATTATACGTATTCTTTTTGGGCTGATGAAAGTCATGAGTAGGAGGGACCACCTCCATAATGCCTCACTAGTAATTTTTGGAATGTATTTTTGTGGCTAGATAATTTTTTTTTAAATATAAAACATATCATATGTTTGTGGGGAAGATAATAAGTGTGCGCATTGATTAGTTACCTACGTAAAAAAAAAAAAAAAAATTGGATCTCGATGGATTAGCTTGTCAATTGGTTATTATTATTATTATTATTATTATTATTATTATTATTATTTAGGTTGAACGAGCTTAGATTTAAATTGTTTTAATTTTTTTTTAAGTAATGCAGTTTTTATTTTGGAGAAGAAACAAACCTAAGGGGCTGTGTTGTGTATTCTCTCTGCATGCAAACGAGGTATAAAAAGTGATAGATCCTTTACACCGTGGCAGTGCGAGCTAGCACGGCTTGGTTCAGTCCCGAGTGGGCAGGATCATCCATGTTGATATTTGGTCAGTGAGGATCATAGTCTGGCGAGGTAGGGCTCGGACTCTGGCTTTAAAGTTGGGGACTCTCTTGGGTTAATCGCTTGCTTTTTGGCCTTCAGTCCCTGCACACAGGTTGGGGTCGGGAAGGGGCTCCCGACTTCGACCCCTTCGAAGATCTTGTTAGAATTGAGTGGCCAATCTTCCTCTGGTCGACCCCACGAGGGGTTTTTTTTATCCTCCCCTTAGGGGACCTGTCATATTTATTACTGTCAGCGTTGTACTCGGTCGACCCCGTCTCGGCCCTCACGGGATGACGTTGTACTCTGTGGGCACCGTCTCGACCTTTGCGGGATGACGCTGTACTCGGTCGACACCGTCTCGGCCTGTTAGGATCAAGAGCACTAAGAGGGGGGGGGGGGTGAATTAGTGCAACGAAAAATTTTCGACGATTAAAACTACGTTCGTACGATAAAATCGTTTCCGACGTAAAATCGTTTTCGAAAACTTAACTTGAAAGCGAGTTCATAAAAGAGTGCAGCAAAAGTAATAAGGAAGTAAAACACATATGGAGGTTTGCAGTAATGTAAGCAGCAAGAAGAAATGCAAACCAGAGAGCACCGTAATTTTAGAGTAGTTCGGTCAATCTTGACCTACATCCACTTTTGGCTTCCTCCTCCGATGAGATCATCGACTTCTACTAGAGGCCTTCCTTCAATAGGCGAAGGCCAACCACCCTTTTACAGTTTCACTCCTTTTGACGGGCTTAGGAGATAACCCTTACAGAAATTTCTCTCCTCTCTTGAAAGATCAAAACTTGGAAGAAAAGAGGGAGGAGAACTTCTAGCCTTTACAATACTTTTGAGCTCTAAAAATCACAGAGTAAGATTGGATTTTCGATGCCTTTTGGTTGTCCTTTCATGCAGGAAATGGTGGGGTATATATAGGCCCAGACTGGTTTGAATTTGGAGCTAAAAAATGTAATGGAAATCTATGTTTGAGTGTTTTGACCCTCTTGGATGGGAGAGTGAATCATGCTACAATTTGGTGTTAAAATAAAAAGAAGAAAAAAATGAATTTGTTTGACATTCTTCTGAACACAAGGAAGCATCAACCACCAAACCACTAATAGTTTATTGCCCATATTGTCACGGTAAATGTGACAAGGGTCTCTAACCTAAGTTTAGCTTTGTTGTGTCTCATATATAAGTCAACCACATCCCACTGCGTCCTTGATGAGACATGCCGAGCAACACCTGACTTGCCCCTTCATGTCCATAGAGCTCTAGATTGTTGCTCGGGTGAGGAAATAGGTGGAGTAAATGCCGACCTGCCATCTCGCATGTTTTGTCTTACCAACTTGTTATGGGTCTTGTTCTTATTGTAACCGTTATTATTAAATATCTAATTTAATAATAATATAACTGTTATCATTAAGATTCATAATTGATTATCATGAATTTCTTCATTAATTATGGTTTAAATGATTTCAATTTTTTATTCTTTAAACATGAAACCGTTATTATTAAATTAAATATTTAATATTATTAAAGTTCTTCATTATGGTTCAAACGTTACAAATCTGAATTAATTCTTGAACGTTATGATTTGGTGATGATAAATGTTCTTGATGGGAGAACATCTATATATACATGAGGATCTCTTTGAAGCGAAAGGCTTTCCTACACCATCTAAAGTGAGAGTTCTGAGCCGAGAAGAACCAAAGTTCAAGAAGAAACCTCTGTAGAAATTCTTGGCGACAATGGCTGGAGGTACACTATTTCGTTTCCGCATTAGTTTATTA